TTTCTTCAGTGGCAAGTTTATTGTACAGCTCTTTCTTGCAGATGGTGAAGGACCCCGAACCCTGTGTGCGTTCTGCTTAAGTAGCCAGCAGGGTGACTTGTTTATCTGTAATTGGTGCTCCACACAAAACCCAATTAGCATGTGGTCTCCAAATGGAGGACCACACAAGCCTACATTAGCATAAGGCGGCGCATGCGCAGATCGCAAAACAATGCTGGCAAGAAGAACCAGGAAGCAGGAAACCGGCGCCATCTTGTAATGGCGGGAGTGGCTCCCGACATCTCCCCCTTATTAATTTTATAAAAATCAGCCAGAGGAAAATATTACACCATGAGTTTTCCGATCAGCCTGCTGACTCAACAGCACCAGTGATCAAGGAGGTTACACGGTGCAGGAGACCCTCTGCACCCGTAGCCCCGTGCAATGGGAACCCGAGCCCTGGGGAGTGCAGAGGTCTGTCTAGAACAGCATCCTGGTGCAATGGGAACCTGTGCCCTTCAGGGGTGCTAAAAGTTCTGACAGAGTCTCAACGGCTGAGCACGTTAAGCCAGACTTAAGGGGAGGCTCCCTGTTCCACAGCCAACATAGCCTGAACCATGGCCACATTTTTGAAATGTTGTTGTCTTTTGAATCTGCAGAGCAACCAAAAACAGAGAAACAGTCCAGCCAGTAGCAACACTCCAAATATTCCCACGCCAACCCACTCCTTAAAATAGGAAAAGGCAGAAGATAGACATTGGCAAATAAGGTAGTCCCAGAGTCTCATTAGTGGCGAAAAATCTTGGGAAGACTTGTGCATCATGCATCACCGGCATGGGTCGAGGAAAGGCTGACAGGATCCCCCATCGAATCTCCTGGGTCTCCACCTCCAAGCTCGTCAGCAGTCCGTTCAACATCAGGATCAGGGTCAGGGTCATCGTGCTTCACCACCAGGGTCAATCGCGCCGAAACCCAAATTGGATTTTCTTGGTCCTGTGGGAAAATACACACAGCTCCCCTGGATCTTATTAAAATAGGATCCGGTCCTTTAATGATTATCAATGTTGCCGGAGTAGGTGCATCGTAACACAGCCCATACATCTAGAGTGGAGCATAGCACCTGTACTTGATGGCTAGTGTAAGGAGTAATAAGAGCAGAGAGCACAGCTGCTGCCAAGCCTTGATTTGTTACCGGTATTTGTTCATATACTTCAGGTGGGTATAAGGTCTGATTAACTACCCACTGGCCTTGTCCAGTAAGCATATCATAATTCCATTGAGGCCGCTGGTTGGCTATATTTTGCTTTGCTTGAGCCATACACAGCTCTTGATAAATGGATTTCCAGTCTAAATATTGTCCCATAGTAAGACATGCTCTCACTGTTTTGGACCAGTCATCAGGAGTCATAGCTGTGGCTGCTAGTCTTTCTATCAGCGCCTGCGTAAATGAGGCGCTAATACCATAGGTTTGTACTGACTCCACCAAAGCCTTCAATTGTTTCAGATCCAACGGTGAGTGCTGCCTTTGATTTTGTGTGTCCTCCCATACAGGGAAGGCTCTCTGAATCTTCTTTTTCTCTTTATCAAGAATCAGCGATCCTGAGGTAATTTTAGAGGGCCTAGGAGCTTTGGCAGGTTTTGCCGTTTTTAAAGGGGGCGCAGTAGCGCCAAGGGTAGACATATAAGGAGGGGGGTCAGGTTGATATCTGTCTGACTCATATTTGGCTGCTTCCTCCTCTAATTCTGCTTGCTCATCAGGGCTTAACCCCGCTTCCTGTTCTGAGTCAGATGACGACCTTTCGGCTTCCTCCGTTGAGGACGTCTCCTCTTCGGAGGAAGAATCTATCTTAAGAGCTCCTAGCTCCTCCTTTAAGCTAGGATAGAGGGATTTTTTACCCCCTTCCAAGGGCCCTGTAGTCTCAGACTCCAGCTTTTTTGCCCTTGCTTTCTTTTTCTTGCCTCCTTTAGCGGAGGCCCCTCGAGTTTTCTTTTTCTCTTCTTCAGTTCCCTTTTCTGCTTCGGACAGACTGTCTTGATGATCTGCTAATGCCCTTTGCCCTTCTTTTACCTTTTCCTTGCAATTTTCGTCTTCTATGCATGATTTAATCAATTTATAAATTGGCATCGTTCCGGGCCTTAACGTTCCCTTTTCCTTTTCTGATGTGATGTCATTTCCTAATTTATCCCAACAGCCTGTGGTCAAAGTCCCAGATATCTGAAACCAGGGTGCGACTCTGTCAACTTCCTGTATAAAATTGCGCAGCACTCGGTCTGGAATCCTTAAGTTTCTCTGTCTAAGCAATGCCCGCACTGCTTCCAGAATCGGCTTTACTTGATGATTTCCCATACTTCCTTTATCTACAGGAGTGGGAAGGCCAGCTCAGTTATCTACCTGAGACTCACGGGCACAAAATGGTGGGACTGACACCCTGTCCCGTCGCCCACAGTTAAGGCACAGACAGCAAAACAAAATGAAAACGAAACAAACGGCAAGAAACAATCCACCCCACATCCAAGCAATCATACCTTGCAGAAAAGTACCGCGGTTCTCACGCCACTGACTTTGAATCCTTTCTCGACGAGCAGTCGGGGTCCTTCGAAGTGATCCTCCACTCCGGGGGTCGGCGGTTCCCGGGTTTCGGCACCACTTGTCGCGTCCGGCCTTTGCCGATAAGGACGACGCAACAACCGAGGATTTCTTCAGTGGCAAGTTTATTGTACAGCTCTTTCTTGCAGATGGTGAAGGACCCCGAACCCTGTGTGCGTTCTGCTTAAGTAGCCAGCAGGGTGACTTGTTTGTCTGTAATTGGTGCTCCACACAAAACCCAATTAGCATGTGGTCTCCAAATGGAGGACCACACAAGCCTACATTAGCATAAGGCGGCACATGCGCAGATCGCAAAACAATGCTGGCAAGAAGAACCAGGAAGCAGGAAACCGGCGCCATCTTGTAATGGCGGGAGTGGCTCCCGACACCTCTGCACATGAACCACCAGCTAGGTGCTAGTATGCATACAGGTAAATTCTGGTACATACAGGACCAAAAATATAGGTGCACAGGTTTACAGCTAAATGACACATACAAGCAGGCTGCTGAAGGCATAGGTGCCTGGATATGGCTTTAATTAATTAGCGAATTAGCCCCTTCAGATAGTCATGGAAAAGCCTTTACCCATCTCAAAAATGTCTCTACCATAACCAGTAAACAGTTGGTCTTTTTGATGGGTGCCTTGTGGGTAAAATCAATCTTCCAATCCTGGTCAGACTTACCTCTTGCTTGATGAATTGAAGAAGGCAGGGTCCTGAAGTGTCCTTGGGGCACATGAGGCAAGACTGGGTAACCTCATGGAGATTTCTGATAAGGGACACATCTTCCATTAATTTTGAGAGGAGACTAGGGGCTTCTATAGCCCACGTTGTTAAAACGGCAAATCTTTTCTAGGTAAAATTATTTTTTTTCACCCTTAATAAGCCAATGTTGATATGAAGTAGCTCCTTTTGGGGATAATTTTTCTTTTTCCTCAGATGAGAAAGGAGAAGGGCAAAGGACAGTGAAGAGAGGTTTACAGCTAGAAATTTAGTTCCCCTGTCAACTTTAGGATTTCCTAGGCCCTAATGGCAGAATTAAATTCTAAGTGCTTCTGGAAATGGAAAACAGCTGCCCAATTGCGGGAAAAAGGTAGCCTGTAATAATTTAAAAATAGGGGTACTATTAATGATAGGTGAACAAGGGTTAGGAGCAGTTAGGACTCCCCACCCCCAACCCCATGAGGGAATGACTGCTTCAGAAGGCCCGATAGGAGTCTGTTTAGATATCTGCAGGCAGAGACTTAGTCAAGGTTAACACTCTAGATAATATAGTAAGTTCAGCTGTAAGGATTCCTTGTAGGAGGGGCCCAACCCAGTTGCTGAGTCACAGGTGGCTATTGTCTTGCTTGGGTGGCTTCCTGAGTTTCAGCTGAAATTTGTCTATAAACCACACAAAGGTTTGAAGGGGAAAGGGAGAATCATTGATGTTAGGGAAGGATTAAGAGGGTGTGCCTGATGGCTTACAAGGGGTTTTAGAGAATGGGATGTATAGACATGTTGTATCAGGGTCCCAGACCTTAGTTGCACAACTGACTCCATGATGGAAGTAACATTCGGGCTGTAAAACTCAGCATGTAGACAGCACCACCTGCCAAAAATAAAAACAAGGACTGAATCCATCAAAGTCCATGGTTATGGAAAAGTCTCCAAATGTGCTAGCTTTGCTTTTTGGCTTCTGTAGTTCTGCCTCTGGCTAAACTGTTCTTGTTAACTGAAGTATGTCAACCCAGGACAGAGTTTTGTGCTTAAAAGCTCGCCCTGAGAACGGTTTGGGGCTACACTGGGATCCCAAACACTCAGTGTAGTCGTAGGTCAGCTAATACAGATCTTCTACTGACTTAAACCCATGTCTGGGCAGCCTTCTCTGCTGAATACCCCACAACAATATATGTAAGAATAAGGGACTAATGTAAAAGTTTCTTGAATCATAAGAGCAGCCCCCCAATGCCCCAAACAAGGAAGCTATCTTAGGATAATTTTATTTAATTGTTTGTGAAAAGAATCAATAGTGAAGAACTAGGAGAAATAGAACACAAATATCTACTTAATATGTATATATAGAATTATATGCATAAATATGTTCTTAACAAAATAGTACAATAATACCCATGACAATGAAAACCACTGTCTCTGTAATTGGTCACATGACTTTATCTGGTATTTATACTTATCTTCAACCAAATTTTGTATGTACTCAACTTTCAGCAGGCACCTAAACAGGTCTTGATTCTCTACATGGAAGACAACTTCCATTCATGAAGAATCTGGATCATTTATAATTCTGATTAGAGTAGGCTGTTGTAGTTTCACATTGACCCTAATAACAGGACACAGTATCACCAAGGACTGCCTAAAGTATCTCTCAAACTCCAGTCATGCTCTTTCTCACCTCTGTTTTGGAGAAGTCATCTAATTTTCCTTTGATAGTCTGGTCAATCGTCCCTGCTAACACTGTAGTTACAGCCTGTCAACTGAGAGGAATCAGGAACTTGAATAGACCAAGGGGAAAGTCTTACTATCCAGTCCAATGGGATGTTTGTTGTCTCTCCTAGCAGAAACATGCTCTACTCTGGAAGTAAAATTTATAGGGCAGCAGACTAAAAGGTCATGGAAACAGTAACCAAAAATTTTGCTACTGGGTCACCTAGAAGTTCTGTGAGTGGCACCATTCCCATTCCTTGACTCCTAGACCTATAAATCCTGGATATGGCAGAAAAAGTACCATATATTGGATGCTGTTTTAGAGCATATATAGCCTTCTAGAAAACCCTACTCCAACCCTAAGCCAGTGGCTCTTATTGCTGCAACCCTTTAATACAGTTCCTCATGTTGTGATAACTCCCAACCATAAAATTATTTTTGTTGCTATTTCATAACTGTAATTTTGCTACTGTTATAAATAGTAATGTTGTAATGGGCCCTGAAACCTTGGCACAACTGACTTCATGGTGGAAGTACCATTCAGACTGTAAAACTCAGCTCAAGCCCCACCTGCTGAAACTAGAACAAAGGCTGAATCCATCAAAGTCCATAGTTTTGGGAAAGTCTCTAAATGTACTGACCTTGGTTTTTGGCTTCTGCAGTTCTGCTTCTGGATAACTGCTACCTGAAGTATGTCAACCCAGAACATGGTTTTTGTGCTTAAAAGCTCACCCTGAGAAAGGCTAGAGGCTGCTCTGGGATCCCAAACACCCAGTGTAGTTAAAGGCCAGCCAATAAAGAGTGTCTGTTGGCTTAAGCCCATGTCCTAGCTGTTTTCTTTAGTGACTATCCCATAACAGTGTAAATATCTTAAATGCAGGACTTCTGATATGTGACTCCTATGACAAGCTATTGTTCTGCACCGTGGAACATCCCCCATACCTATAGCTTTTTGAAAGTTAAACACATTTGACTTATGACTGCATGACTCTGCTCTAGGTCTGAACTCCAAAAGTCAAGTGTGATTATACGAAGCCATGTGTGTAAGTATCCATAAAGCTTTATTAAAAGCAGCTAAACCTGGATGGCTAAGGTAAAATACTTGCTGTTCTAGCATGAATATCTGAGTTTGGATCCCCTGTGCTGATAGAAAAGCTGGACACCGTGGCTTGCATATGTAACACCAGTGGCAAGGAGTAGGCACAGGTGGACCAGGAGCTCTAGCTGCCTATCTAGCTTAGCAAAACAGCAAGATCCAGGTTCCTCTCAAAAAGTAAGGTGGAGAAGTGATTAGAGATAACATCCTGATGTCAACTCTTGTCTTTACATGTACCTATAAATAAAAGCAAGGATACCTATCCACAGTTGTACATGAATACCACACACACACACACACACACACACACACACACACACACACACAGAGAGATTGAGAGAGAGAGAGACAAAGAGACAGAGAGACAGAGAGAGACTGATAGAGAGATAGATAGAGAGACAGAGTCAGAGACAGAGAATAGACAGAGAAATAAAATCACCACACTTGAGCCTGAAAGACAATTCCTATAAAACTGGCACCCAGAAGGCCAAGGCAGGGTTATTATACATTCAGAGCCAGCCTGATCTACTTAGAGATACTTAATATGTATGCAGACAGGCATGGGCACAAATTAACCAGCAAACAAACATCAGGCAAAAGAAGACAAATAAAAACAAATGAGTCATTTAGCTGTACACCAACTGAATAAGTGTGTAAAATGCTGGATGTGCAAACATGCAATGGCATGCTTTGATAAAGGGAAGCAAAGGCGTGAGTAAGATGACTCAGTAGGCAAAGGCACTTGCCACCAGGATTATCAACCTCAGTTTGACACATAAAACTCACATGGTAGAAGGAAAGACTCACCTGTAAGTTCTCCTATTCACCCCCACCTCTCTCTAAAATGTAAATTTCTTTTTAAAAATATTATTTATTTATTATTTTATGCAGTATACAGTATTCTGTTTGCATGTGTGCCTGTTGGCCAGAAAGAGGGCACCAGATCACAGTATAGATGGTTGTGAGCCACCATGTGGTTGCTGGGAGTTGAACTCAGGACCTTTGGAAGAACAGCCAGT